AAAAAAAAAAAAAAAAAAAAACAATTTTGCATTCAAATTTGTTGGTGTTACATTCGGAATTTATTGCTCCTCAATTAAATCGGTGTAATAATGGTGGTTTACGCTTAAAATGGATTTATTTGTGCTTTACAGGTGTATTCTTTGATTTCAATCTATTCTTTAGCCAACATTCAGAGAAAAACTGTAGAAGAAGCACTGCAAAAAAGCTAATTTTGATGTAAACAGTTTTAGAACACAATCTCTTATAATCTATAAAGTTGAAAATAAAAATTTTTATGACATTAAAAAGCAAAAATCTTTTTGTTGAAAAAAGATAAAGTTTTCTGTTTTTTATCGCAAGAAAAAAAAAGTTTCTAGATAATTCTGGATTTGTAATGCCTAGCTGTTCCAAGTTTAAAATGCTGCATCGGTCTCTGATAATACAGCAAAAATTTTGTAGATCACCAATGAATACTATCTTTGGAGAATAGAAGATGATAAATATCTTTAGTGTCATTTCGCAAGAATGAAATCAAAGAGCCACCACTGAGTACTGAGAATGTCACTGATTGAATTTGAAAATATCTATATTTCAAAGAATAAGAGCAAACTTTCTTTCTTCTGTCTTCTTTTTCAAAATAAAGACCAAAATTTTAATTAAAAAAAAGATTTTTAAATGTACGTTTAGACAGAGCACTTAGCTGTTTTTAGGTTGAATTCTATGTTCCAAAACAGAAACTACTTCTTCTAATCTGATAATCTTATTCACTACCACTTATCATTGACTAAGCTAAAGCTAAGTGCAATTAACCTAGCAGTATTTAGTACTGAAACTTTTACCACATTATTTTGGTCACAGCTTAGCATTATAATCTTTCAGAACTAAGAAAAAAAAAGTTAAGTAGTCTCAGTAGAGAATATGATGCAAAAAGAAATTGCATTAAGCATCTTTTTAATTCGTTCTTTTCTAACGTTGCATAAATTTATCTGCTAGAATTGCTGAGGTTAAAATCAGATAAACTGATTTTTACAGCACAGAGGACATATAGTTAATAAAGCTTACAAATTTGTACTTAATTTCTTAAAGATTATAGACAAAAAATAGCTATCTTTTGACTACCAGAAGTGCATTGCTGTTATATCCACAAAAAATATTTCTGTCTCGTAACTCGAAATGCACGCAAAATTAGAAACTGCAGCAATTAAAAAAAACTTTACAGTTGTACTTCAAAAAAATAATAATTTCTAAGATTGCAAATGCGTATTTTTAAATCTATCTATTTTTCTTTCGTAATCTCAACGTTTACGGTTTAGCAGTAAAAATTTTTCAACTGTTTGAAGGCTTAACTATAATTCTAGCTACATATTTTGGTTACTTCAGGTGCCATTTAGCGATATTGGAGGTCAAACTCTTGTACTGGACGTCTTTGACTTTGATCGTTTCGGAAAACATGATCAGGTTGATGCTGTTTTCTATTTTTTACCTCTAATTTATATAAGATTTTCGATTTACTTACGCTAATATCTCGCGTTCAAATTTTCGCTATCAGATGGAGAAGCAAAAGTTTGATTTCAATTCTCAAATAAATTGTGGAGAAATGTTTGCAAACATTTTAAACAAAATTGGATTTTTTTCTGCTGCGATATAGCGTAAAAGCAAAAAAAAAATGTCAGAATATGACCTATTCAGATTGGCCAAATATCAATACCTCTTGGAAAGGTCGATTTGGCAACAACAATACAAAGAAATGATCTTATTGAATCACCTCCTGTATGTTAATCAACTCATTTATTTGCTTTACACAAGCTAAAATTTTTGTTTTTAAGTTTATAATAAGACCTAAAACTAGTTTCGGATTGTTTGTCGACAATCACAAAAAGATAATGTGATAAAAAATTCATTATTAAGAAAATATGAACTTCATAACGCAGCTTTGAGGGTATGAAATATAAAAGTTGGTCAGCTGTAAGCAAAAAGATTCAGAGTTTAAAATAGTTGTTCAACAATGATAGGTTGAAGAACTAAAGACAAAAAAAACTTTAATCTAGTCACTATATGTTTGCTCCAACTTCTAGATATTGCTCCAAAAAAGATGCTTGTACATAAATGTAACAAATAAGCCTGTGTAAACTACAAGAATAAATAAAAACGAAAAATGAAAAAAAACTGAAAACAACTGCTGGTTCAATTTTGAATGCAAGTTGAAGAAAGTAACTCTAAAAGTAATCACAGATTGAACCAGTAATACTTTTTTAAAATCTCTTCACTTTTGGCTTTTGTTCTGTGCTCTTTTATTCAATTTTGAAACGCCTTACTCAATTTTGGAACAATTTCACTCTCTTTTTTTTAGCTGAATTTAAACTTACCGATTTACATTCATTTATTTTCTCACAGATATTTTCCAAGTTGCTTAGTTTTAAAAGCTTCTATAAAACTTAAGTTTCTTCTTAATTTTTTAATAAATGCTGCCGCCACAAACCTGTTAGTTTTGTAATTCATAAATGTAGTGATGGTAAAAACATTATTTCCACAACTATTTACCGATACCTATTACAATAATATTTCCTTTGAGCGACTGAAATTGTAACCATAATTCTTCAATTTTCATTGTAACATTATCTCTCTCACTTTTTTTTTTTTTGTCTTTTATCACTCCTTATTTTTTAATTGACGGCATTAAGTTGCCAGAACAAACAAACACTATTCAAGCGGCAACTTTTTTAAGGTTTAAATTTAAATGAAACAAATTTTTAGGAGAATAGACTTGGTGAAGTATGTCTGGCTTTACGATATGTTCCAAACAAGAACAAACTTACAGTGGTAGTCATGGAGTGTAAAAATCTGAAGAAAATGGACGTCCTTGGCCTGTCTGGTGAGTCATTTTATCCGCGCTTATACACTTCCTAGTAGGCAATTAGAAGAAAAGAAGTTTTTCATTACTTTTGTTAAAAGTGATGAATTTGTAAAACTTTTTTAGCTGTCTAGATAATCATTTGCATTGCATTGACAAAACCCAAAAACTTCCTAAATATTTTAAAATATTCAGTTGTTGCAGCATTAGTTGTGAGATAGTAGTGTAAACAATACAGTATAAAGCATTTTTGATTAGAGAAGAACTGAGAATTAAAACAATAGAAGACTGAGACAAAGAAATAGAAAATTATTAAACCAACAGCTATTAATACTTGAACAAATATGGCAAAACCAGTCGTAGCATTAAAAAAAAAAAAATTTCTAGTACAACTGCTAATAAAACTGTTCTAAGTCACTCTTGTTAATCTGTCTTTTAGATCCTTACGTTAAAATTTATTTGATGATGCAAAACAAGCGTCTAGAGAAAAAGAAAACGACAATCAAAATGAAGACTCTGAATCCTTACTACAATGAATCCTTTAGTTTTGAAGTTACTCCAGAAAAAATGCAGGTTAGTATTCTTTTTCAGGTTTTTGTTTCTGCTAACACCATTTCTGCAAGCAGCATCGACTCAGCCTTTTAACCCAGATTGCGAGAAAACGTTTTAAACATTATGGTTGCCTATGCAACTTGAGAATATGGCTTAAATTACTGGTGAAAAACCAATATTCACATGAGCCTTTTTTGAAGAACTACTAAGCTTTAATTCATGGAAATAATTTTAAAACTCTCAATAATTTATGCTCTCTTCGGCTTATTTGAGACCATTAGGTATGTAGAAGCTAATCTACCAACAAAGATGCTTTTTTACCTGAATAAAAGATGTATTATTTTTTATAAAAACCTGAGAAACAAAATATTTCAAGGTATTTGACGTTTTAAATGCTTTTCTAAAAAAGTTTGTGACTGCAAAAACTTCAAAACTGTGGCTGTTTTTCTAAACATTTCCGACAACACTCCGACTCTAAAAGGCAGTTTTGCTTATAAAAATGGATAGTGGTATGTGGAGAATACAGATTATGCTCATCACTTATACTATAAAAAATAAAAATGGCAAGCAACGGTGTAAGTAGTTATATTTATATGAGTTATTGGAAGCAGTTTTATACCATCTTCCGTTGAATTCCAATTGCATTAGGAGAGGTATTTTGAAAAGAGTTCATAAATTAACGAGTTTATCATTCAAAAAATTTGAGAAAATCATCAAAGTTTCATTTATGATCTCCATTTATCTTTGTTAGTAGCACTGTCATCAAAGATTAAGTTTATCAATACAAGCGCGTTCTGATCTAACCATCATTCTTGATCATCGTTTTCAAGTTAGAAGCCTATCATTTATGGTGAACAAGCGTTTGTTCAGTCTTTCACAATCATGAACGAATTCAATAATTGTTTATTTATCTATTTTCGATAGTTAAATTGCAGAGAGTACATTTACAAATAACTGTATCCGATTACGACCGACTTGGCTCCAACGAACGGATCGGTCACGTCATCATCGGCAGTAACGCAACTGGTGCAGCCCTGAAACAGTGGCAGGATATGTTGGCGACCCCACGCCGCTCGGTAGCCCAATGGCATATACTGCAGCCTTTCAACGACGACTAGCTGACTCCCAAAAATCAAAGCAAACCTTGTTTCTTGGTGATAATCAGTTGACATTACCTCCGATCTCCCATCTACTAAGTAGTTTCACTAAAGTGTGCAGAAGAAACTTTCTATTTATTTTATTTTATTTATTTTAAAACTTCTTGTATTCGCTTTCTTTATTCGTTTTCTGTATGCTTTGCAGTCGATGTTTTAACCACTGTTGATGCTCTGACTTAGAACTGAAAAGAATGAAGTTGTAAATCTAGGAAATTAGTTTGAACAGCAGTTAATTTTTAACTTTAGTCAGCGTAGAAAGGAAACAAGTCAACAGGTTTTGTGACCTAAATATGAAAGGTCGTCATCATCTGAACGCTAACGATGACCAAGAATCAGAAAATTTAATTGTAGCCTTTTGGAGTAAAATTGCATTAGTATAGATAAAAGTTTTAATGTTATTGTAATTTGAATCAAACTATTTGTGCCTGTGATTAAATTCTATAATTCTTTCTATTTCGTTTTTTTATTTTTTTTACTTTTACTTTTACTTTTTTTTATTTTTTTATATTTTTGTTGTTGTTGATCATATGATTTATTTAGATTACCACTGATAAAGCTGTCAGTTTCATACTATGCGACTTGAGGAAGTTTTTGAATAAATAATTTTTGTTGCGAAAAATATAGCAGGTCCCAATAGAGCAGCGTAACCGTTAACTAAACAATGAATAGAGTGAACCAGAAAAAAGAAAAGAACGTATTGCATTTATCGGACAAGCGATGGCCATCAGGAGAAGAAAAGGAGCTGACTGAAAATTATATATCTATTTTCCAGTAAAAGCAATGCTGGGATACTTGTTTATGAAAAACTTCGAACAAATATGATTTTAGAAAACCTCTGAGTAGTACATAAATTGATGTAGAACTACAAATTCGAAAACGCTAACAGTAAAAACTGGTGCGGAACTGAACAGTTTACAGTTTATGGTTCAATTTTTTTTGCCACTATAGTTTTGTTAGCGAGCATAAAATGTTTATGAATATACGTTAGCATCGATTACGCTTTCTTCACCACTTGCTGGCTGACAAACGTACGATGAATAATAATGCACGTTGGTTTCGTGATATTCTTAGAAAAGGATTTAAACATTATTTTTTTAGATGAGGGACTTTATTGCAATAATTTCTTTTATTCCTTTATTAAATGGAGCAAAATTTAAATTTTTACCTTCAAATTCAATGAATCTTGCGTCAAGCTGGGGAAGTTCAAGCATGCCATGCCAAGAAGACAGGGTACGGTTTGATCGAGATAGTGAGGTCGTTACAGTACTCAGCGGTTCAATATTGACCTCAGAATTCTATCTACCTGATGATGGAATTATCTATTTTGACAAAAAGTCCCAACTGGGTGTAGGCGATAGCTGGCAATGCGATAAAAGAGATGATCCTGAAGGTGAGTTTAGCCAAAATTAGTTAATTTTCGTGACTATCTGTACATGCAGTATAAGAAAGAGATTATTTTAAGTATCAGTGACAATAAAAACCTTAAAGTTTTGAACCCGTCGCGGGGGTGAGAAGCCTACTGTAATTTTATTTTAAAATTCATACTCCAGTTATTCGAATTACCTGTTTTCCTCCTCAAAAAAAATTAATTTTTATTTTCTTTTTCTAATCTGTCTAGCTGTAGTACAAGGAAGAAATAAACAAAGGCTGATAGGAATAAATGCAAACTTTATCTATCGGTACATTGTCTACAATCTACATCGCCTACTGCACCATGAATCATATCATTTTTGTAAAATTTTTTAGTAATTAGCCAATGGTTCACAATTTATAGTTTAACAGCTATTTGCCGAGAACTCAAAAAATTGAAAAAAAATTTTTGCAGAGTCAATGTTTTTGTCGCAGGCATCTTACGCATTTTTCAATATATCCAACTGGGAAATAGTCCAACCAACAGATTCTATTCTGTCGTCTAAGAATTATTTACATATCGCTCAACTACCCGGTAACGAGGTTTGTAATCAGTTCATATGATCTTAATGTCCAAGTTATTTGCTTTATTTGGTTTATTGACAGTGTTTTAATTTTGAAATACTTTGAACAAAAATGAACGTACTTTTAACCCGCCTTAAATGCCACAATGTTTCGCAACTTTGTCCAGGATATCTTGACTACTAGTAGTAAACACTTTGAACAAAGTACAAGTAAAAGTCTCTGCCAAGTTTTCGCTTTAAAGGATACAATAGTATTTGAAATAAGCCGCGCAAGTCGTATATTCCTTAATGCTCCATTGACGGTGCGCGAGATATATGTCGGCGATGAGGTAAGCTGTTCCGTTTAATTGAAAACTAAATTTAAAATTTGTAATGTTTTTTGGTTTTCTTTTGAACTACGTTTTGAAAGTTTTTTTCAGTTTTGCCGGTACTGACAGAGATAGCTGTGTAAATTTAATTCTATGCCTTTTATTCAGTCTTATCAGTGTTGTTTTTTCTGGCCCTCTATCTGTCTTGACACGATGTTTTATTTTACCAAAAAACATTTTTGATCTCTGGTTTCTTTCACACATTTTTTTTTAACTTCTGAACTTCTTTTGTGAACACACTTTTAAAAACATCTGAAAGTTCTGCTCTTCTGTAAGAGGAATTTGCTTCTTAGAATAGGCGCTCATATACTGTCAAAAGCAAAAGGAGGCATAAAATAGGGGTGTAAGTAAGTCGGCGATCAAGAGAACATAAATGAACAATTTTCTTATGACGGAGATGAATAATAAAGTTTTAAATTATACGAGACCTTTTTCTATTTGATAAGTGGAAAAGGAAGTATGGATCTAAGAACATACTTCTATGTCTTATTCTCTTAACGGCTCATTACACAGGTAGATGCTGGATAAACATTAGATCTGCGGCCAACAAGAAACTCATTGAGCCGGATACAGCAGCAACACTTTTTAAGCCATTTCTGTGTTTGTTTGGCTGAAGTAGATACGCTAAGTTTCTTTATTTTTTAGAAGTTTTTAAAGGCTAAAATTGTTTGTAAGGTGAGAGCCAAACATTCTATCTCTGATTTTATCACTTTTTGACTTTACAGTACAAAGTTTTCTGCTGTTACATCTTTGACAGGTTGCATGATGATAAGCGTGAAACAAAGTAATAATTTACACTTTTTTCATTTCATTCGTTATTATGTTACAAACAAAGTAAGTGTAATAATAAGTAGATAAACAACCGGTAGAGAAATGTTGAATAAAAGCTTGAAAATATTCAAGCAATTACCCTGCAGTAAAATACATTTTGATACATAGAGCTAACAAAGTTAATAATACCCGAATAAGCATTTTGTCACTTTTACTAGGCACATAAGGTTGGCTAATAGAAGTGACTCTGCATAACAATCGCTCTATTTTAGTGAAAAATAAATGTTTTGGCATTTTCTTCAATGGGCCTCTGTAGGAGTCCTAGCCAGCAGAAGCTGGCTCAAAAAGATTCCAAAACAATTAAATTCCAAATTTTAAACTGAATATGGACGACATTCACGATTAAATTTCTGGAAGAAAGCGCAACAAACACAGATTTTTTTAGGCAAGCTTTATATTTCGAGAAATAGATATCGTAAGAGAACTACCAACTTTAGGCTACTGGATTTGTACTGATCACACCCGAACATCTTCGAAAAGACGACGTTATGTTTGGCTGACCATCTTCAAGTTGCTAAAATATGATCATTTTTCGCAGGGACTTTTTTAATAACTCTGATTTGAAAATTTAAAAGACCACTTTTTTCTTAGTATTTATTATTTTCGGCCATGAACTAAGTGTAGTCTCAAGATTATATACTTTTTTGCTAATTTAATATAATCAGCAAACTCTTTATATGGTGTTATGTGATATTACCTCCAAAGGTTTGTACTGAGAAAAGAAGAAATGTTTGAGGATAAATGGTAAACTTTGTTCATAAATAAAATTGAAGCCGTGTTTGCTGACTATTGAGGAAAGAATGGTTTATTGTTTAAAAAAAAGTACCCAAAATCCATTTTTCATCTCACGAATGACCAGGGCGATGAACGAGTTCCAAGCCGCGAGCGTTTCCTTTCGTTTCTGAAATGGGTACAGCATGTGCCTTGTACTAAAGTTTAGTTTTCCCATTAATAGAATTTTAACCCTTCTACAAAAAACTTTTGAAGGAGGATTTTTAGCGAAAAATACTATTAGATGAGTGAGAGGTGCAAGAGCGGAGAAATAGGGAAAATTACCAATTTTTTTCTGCGGTTATAAAGTTCATTTTTTTAAAAAAAAGATATCATAAAAATGCTACAGTAAACAGAGTGACCTAAATCTCGGCATTGTATCTCGTTTTGGGTATATACCATAAGCTGAGCAATTCAGCCTCGTAAGTCCTGCCTAAATTGCTCAACCTCGACGCCACCGAAGTTCCCTCATTCTTCTACGAAATTTGTCGATATCTTTACGAATATACATTTTCTTCAACTTTTACAGCTGCGAACTTAGGAAACTACTATTACAGTTTTCTTATTTCTCTTTTTCTACCACTGTTCCTTCCAAACAGTTTTAGAAGTCCTTTTTATTTTACCTTAAATTTTTACTTCTTTGTCAAAGAGCATTATTGGTATTAGATGTAAAACAGTAAGTTTCAGTTGACTAAATTCTTGAAATCAAACATTTTAAACGAGAAGCTCAGTAAGCTGGAGTAAGCAAACGGCAAAATCTTTTGTTCTCCTCTCTCTAGCTCATTATGTTAATAGTGATGAACTGTAGGTCAACAGGTTAAGATGTGGTTGAAACAAGCCAAAAATTGCTTATATTTTAGCGTAGATTCAAAACAATAGTCAAATTACTAAGAAAGAGACTAACAAAATAAATGATGTATTTGATATTCCTTTTAACAGCAAACGATGGCTGAAAAAACTGATTAAAAAATGATGAGAATAGTGATTTTCGTCAGAAGTTTTTCAAAAAGAAATGCCTTAGCTGACTAAACTCAATTGCTTGCATAATTTTCTCAACTGGTAATTGCAGTCACAGTTCCTACTCTTTCTTCTCATTTAGTTTTCAAATCATTTTCTCTCTCTTTATACCTAACTTCCTTGCCAAATTCAACTACATGACACTGTGGCCTCAGCTTATAAGCTTTCTTCAGCAGATATTTACCAGTTGAATATTTCTCTTGAAAAATGATAGAGCAAAAAGTAAAACAAGGTGAAAGGTGGAGGTTCTCCAATTAGAAACAATGACGAAGTAGTCAGAAAATTGAACGCTACAGATAATGAACACAGGTGCGCTACTAAGCTCAGAAAAGGAAAAATTACCAGTTCAGAATCGTAAGAACACTCTCCAACATACACGAGGAAATTATTTTTGAATTCTCGCCAAACTGTTGAACTGAAAACTATGCTGCGGGTACAGTGAATAATGGCAGTCTGGCGTATCTTCTCTGCTATTTCCTGAAAAAAATTTCAGTTTTTTTTTTTGTTTTTTTGTTTTTGAAATAAAGTAGTACTATATAATTTGAGGACGTGTTTTTAGACCTGTTCGCTGTTGCCTTTGACCATAAAATCTAAAACTTCTTCTACAAAAGTTGTGATGTGGTCTCCAAGTTGTTGAATTCGTGGGCTGCTGCGCAAATTCTCACAAATATCCCTATTGGTTTCAATTCTTGAATCGTAGCTTTTTAGTTGGTTAGCTTAAAGAAATGAATGATTTTCATTTGTGCTAATAAAACCTTTTAATTTTTTAGGAAAATTTACAAACAATATTTTGCAAGGTTTATGACATACTACTATCACAGTGATAGTACTTAGTGGTACCTGTAACTGCTTTAAATAAGTGCGGATTTTTGCATATCATGTCGTAAACTAGTTTAGCGCCAAAACTGCCGCAATTATTTCGTCTTAATTTTGCCCATGAACTTTGCAGCAGATCAATTCGTCGAGACGTTTGCAATCTGAAATGTATTCTAGTTTATAGTCGAAACAGATCTAACAGTACGGGGTTATACAGAATTCTACAAAAGCATAACACCCGACGTTATTAGGTGTACTTACGTCACCAATGCACAGCGCCTTCTAATGGATACGTTTCTTCGCTCCATTCTATTTTTCAACCAATCCGCAGCTTTCAGGTATATAACACAATTAGTTGCACTATTGGCTACGACAAGAAAGTTGCTGAGATCAGATGCATACATAAATGAACCATTCCAAAAACCAGTTACTTCCAGTAAATCAAGCTTAATATTATTTTATGAAATATAGTTGAAAAAAACGATATTATATTATTGCTTTATATAAAAATTGAAAATAAATTAGAAACAGCAAAAAAAGCACTTTCGATCTTAATTGCTTTTGAGCACGGAATCTTAATATTTTTTTACGAAATCAATATTACTTGTTATACTAAATTACTTCCAAAGGTTAATACGTACAATAAACAAAGGCATGCGTAGTAGGAGAAATTTTGTTGCGAGCATGAGTGAGATCACTGTTTGAATTATTTCTCTAAAATAAGTGGCTATAGATCCATTTCAATCAATAAGAAAATAATAAATCTAATATTTCTATTCTTATTCAATAACTAGGGGTTAGGTAACTGAGAATAAATGGAACTTACTTGGATGAATGACGGTCTGAAACAATGTCGCTCATCTGAAATAACCTTCTTCTAGAACGATTAGATCCACGTATTAGGAATATTGTCCAAACTGTTATAGCTAAAAAAGTTTGCTTTGTCGCTGTGTTTTACAAATAAAATTAAATAAGAGCAACAAGAACTTACTAAAAATAAAAATATTTGGTCCGATCGTAGCAACGATACTTCGAAACACTACTCGATACCATAATATGTAAAAATCATATCCTCTCAGCCAATAAACCAACTGAAATTTGTGCGTCACGAGCATCAAGTTTTAGCATATCTTTTTTTAGTCCTTCTTAATGAGCATATCTAAGCCTAATACCTAAACTACATCTTACGCAATAAAGGCTGCCTCTAAAAGTGCAATTTTTATATGCTTTAGAAGAGTTTTTGCTATTTTTAGCCAAGTTACTAGGCAAAATAATTTTAAAAAATTACCATAGTACCATATGTCTTATCTTCCAGCAAACAACTAATCGAAGTTAATTCAAAAAAAGCAGGCAAATTGGCTATTATAGCTAAAGTAGAAAGAACTATCGGCATTCTAAAATGGCGTCTGTAGGTGTAACAGTAGATCATTGATAGTGATGAGTTTCTTCTATCGTTTCTTCCAGTATTTAACAGCATTCTGCCACTTCTAAAATACTTTTTTGTTTTTCTCAAAATAAAGCTGTAAGAAGTCTGTATTCAAGAAAAAAAGACGCTAATTAAGTATCTGAACGAACCTAGAACCTCTGAACGGATCCCTGCTTGCCCACCAACGCTGCACAGTTATTGCAGCCACGCACCAAACCTGAAATTTGTATTCGCATTTCTCAGAGGCATTTTTCTTTCTTTTGAGAACTCAAAAATGCCATATTAAATTGGTTAAAAAAACAAAGTGTTACAGAAGCAGTTAGTGATATTTGCGCACAGCCTTGAAACCATGGTATGATAAGCGTCGGCATCTCCAAATTATACGGTCTCAGTAAAGCACCGATGGAGTAATAAAACACAGCACACCATAGTAAAATTGTATCCCAGAATGCCAACGCTATGATAGATGCGGCTAGTACAACACCTAAATGTGCAAATAAATATGTCTCAACCGTTTTCTTAAAATGCTTTATTTTTTGGGAAAAAGTTCTACAATAAAGCATTAGTCAGCTTTATAATAAAAACTGATTTCACCTTACTAAAATTATGCTTTTAAGCTGTTAATTTTGTACAGCTGCCTAACACTTAGGCGACTATAACCAAATGTGATTATGGCTTTCTACTTGACCTTCAGTAATATCATATTGACATTTGAAAGCCTTTTTACAAGATTTAAAGAATGGATAAAAAATGTAAAATTACAAACCTCGATTTTTATCAAAATTTGACAAATGAATAGATTTGATACCGTGTAAATTACCAACTGTACCAAGAATTACACAAAATAATGTTAGATAACCTTTGATTAGTTGGCAGAATAACCTGAAAGCAAAACCTATTTGTTTGTATAGTAAAATTTTTTTAATCAGGTGTTTTGCTGCTAAAATTAAAAACTTTTTTAATTATTAATTATGTGTAAACTGTTTAGCTAAACTATGCACAAATTATCATAATTATAGTGCTAAACTAGCGTACAAATAACTTACATATAATAATAATCTGGATGTGGAGCAAGGGGGCATAACGTTGTAATATTAGAGAGCATCACAATTATCTTGGCATCTACTACATTTTAGGGTTTGCAGACCTGCAAGCATCAAATTTTTGTACTTTTACTGCCAATATACACTAACTGGCTCACTTTTTGATGCTCTTAGTAATGCTACAAAAGTGGTCAGCAAAATATGTTTTAAGAACAGATAAAACTTTTTCTTTCTACCATTCTTTAAAAAAGCCGAGTCTTTTTATTTGCATTACCAGTCACAAAAGATAGATATAAAAATACTTTTTCTTACATAGGTAGCATTGAGAAAAGAGTGAGGTTAACTTGAAATTAGAGCAGACAAGAAATTTTACTAGGCGGAAGATGAGCACTTAAAAAGTGCGTTTATTGTCCGGAATTTAGGAATTCTTTTTTTTTGTGTGTGTTAAAATGCCAGATGTCCCGTATCTTAGCTGTTGGTTAACTAAGTTCTCTTCAGTTTCTTTTAATAAGCCAAAAAGTTGAGTAGTAAAATCAAGAAAATTTTTTTTTTACAACTATAATGAGGCTAATATAAGCTTATCAACATTTTACACCCACAGTGTTACAAAATTAACTTTTAAAACTGAATCAATTTTTGAAACTATTTGTCGTGTGCAAATTTTTTTGTAAATTTAAAAATGTATCTGTCACCATCATTTCCTTGCTTTTTTAACAATAAAAGTGACATTAACAAGTAGGTTAAGTGATGATAAAATGTAAAACTGATAAAAATTGTTTAAAAAGAACAATAAAAGAAAATTACAGTAAAAAAAAGAGAATTAAATTTGTTTTAGTTTTAATTTAAAAAAAAAAAAAAGATTTAATTTACCAACTATCGAGTCCGCTGATCGTCCATAAGAACGGTATTTGTTCTTCCATGAGGAGCACCGGTACACGTAAAGCAACAATTTTTTAAACTGCTGTTTTGCGGGGGCAATTAGTTTTGCTGAACTTTCTGCGAAATAAAGCTCAAAAATAATTGATAGTTAATACAATATTATTGTATCATTTACACAAAAGCATTATATGGTGAAATAGAATACAAATTCACAGTTTGCGATGAGTGACAGTTGATGAAAAAATAAACATTGAAAACAATTTTTTTTCAATCACTTTCAATTGGCAATTAAGTCAAACAGAGTTATCAAAATTTTTAGACTAAGAATTGCTGTAAATATAAAATTAACTAAGACAGGAGTCTGATAGTTAAATTCAGTTTAATCAGGTCATTTAATAGATATAGTTGTAAAAAGAATGACCGTTATTAACAGGTAGACTG